TTGTTTTATTTGTGATTTTGAACGTAAACATTAATGGGGAAAAACCAAATAAAAAATTAACAACAACAACAAAAGGAAGTTAGCATGATGTGGTAAACAGGGCACCAAAGTTTAGAGCATTAGGCTCCAATCTCTGCTCTTATTTATTTTTCCTAAGCACAACAGGTCCAAGAAACAGATAGGTAAGCCGTGTTGGTTTGCCATAGTCAAAACAAAACAAAAAATCCTTCCAGTAGCACCTTAAAGACCAACTAAGTTAGTTCTTGGTATAAAGCTTTCGTGTGCATGCACACTTCTTCAGATACCTTGGAAGGATTTTATTTTTTTGTTTAGGTGCAAGAAAGACATCTTTTAAAACCTCAAAGCTTGCACTCTCTATTAAGTGATTTCCTCCCCCGCCCCCCGCCCTTAGAAAGGTGCTGCTCTTTCTAAGTGCGGATATATTTTCTTGGCGAGGATTGTGTCATCCCCTGTATGGCCTCTCTTCCCTGAGCTTTGCTCCCGAAACCCCTTATCACAACTTTAACCTCAGATGAGGAACGCCGTGGCTGTTACCCTCTGTCACAAAGTCCATGGCACTCTCCAGGCCTCTGGAAAAAGAGAAAAAACCCAGGGTTGCCCCCGTTAAGAACATGGGCACTAGGTGAGGTTTCAGTAGCATTACACCAGGGGTCAGCAAACTTTTTCAGCAGGGGGCCGATCCACCTGTCCCTCAGACCTTGTGGGGGGCCGGACTATATTTTGAAGAAGAAAAAGAACCGAATTCCTATGCCCCACAAATAATCCAGAGACACATTTTAAATAAAAGCACACATTCTACTCATGTAAAAACATGCTGATTCCCAGACCATCCGCACGCCGGATTTAGAAGGCAATTGGTCCGGATCCGGCCCCTGGGCCTTAGTTTGCCTACCCATGCATTACACAATCTACAGTTCAACAGAAGAAAGGTTTCAAGACAACACACTAATAATAATAATAATTTATTTACTGGTATACCCCGCCCTCCCCAGCCAGAGCCGGGCTCAGGGCGGCTAACACCAGTAAAATTACAATAAAAACATAATGGGGGGAGGGGACCAATTTAAAATACAGGTTAAAATGCAATTTAAAATGCAGCCTCATTTTAAAAGTAGCCCATAGATCAAAACCATAAGGGGAGGGGAAAAATAAGGGTCAGATTGAGCTCAAACCAAAGGCCAGGCGGAACAGCTCTGTCTTGCAGGCCCTGCGGAAAGATGTCAAGTCCCCAAAAGATTTCATACCAGGCTAGGGGGGCAGCCTTGGCCAATCTGGTGTCCTCCAGAGGTTTCGGACTACAACTCCCGTGGGAGTTGTAGTACGAAAGGCCTGGAGATTGCCAGGCTGACAAAGGCAGCCCTAGGGCAATTTTGCCACCAGCAAGTCTGGCCCTCGGGATGAGGGAGCGCCAGCCGGGGTGCCCAGATGCCCACATCCCCTTTGGCGATACTTGCCACTGGGGAAGCGTGAAGTGGGACTGACTCCATTTTCTAACAAGGAGCCCTCTGTGGCGGAGTCAGAGCCAGAGTGATGGAGGGAGAAAGGAGAGCACAGTGGTTGCCTAGCAACCGCAGCATCCCTGCCCTTTGGTCCAAGCCGACTTCCAGTCCGCTTCGTTCCGTTCATCTCTCCGTGGAATGGCTGAGATGGAGGCCCTTGCGGTCACTTGGAAGGCACACCTCTGGACCCAGGAAGCAGGACTGTGGGTCAGCCCACAGTTCCCACTCCCTGTCCACCTTTCCAGGCGGAATTCCACACATTTTAAACACATTTCCAGCAGCATCTTGCTGCATCGCTCTGTTGATTTGAGTGGATGATGTCAATATAGATCGCAGATATAACAAAGGCGGCATTTTTTCGTCTCCGCCAAGCTAAGCAGTTGGCTCCTTTCCTCTCTCACCCTGACCTAGCCTCTGTGATCCACGTGACGGTCACCTCCAGACTGGATTATTGT